GGGAGGGACTCCAGGGCACAAAGGACATATAGTACTTTCTAAATTTCCAAGCAGATGTTGGTGCCAGAGCATTAGAACAAAGGGAATATATTTCCAAATATGACTTTTAACAAATGTACTTAATTGACTCTGAAGATGCAGCAAACTGCTTCATGTCTCTAGTCCTCTTCATGGTGCAAAGTCCAAAATCAACACAGAATAGGTTGTAGTTATTACTAATTTTTTTTTTTTTACTATTCTCAGAATTATATATGAATAGTAACTGAGGTCCTAAAGGGCATCACTATTTATTAATAATAAAGTCATCAGGTAGGTATTCTATATCATCCATTTAAAGGTATTTTCTAGTTGAATAAGAATTTTTCATTGAAGATGCAGTACATAAATACATTGGCTACATGTGGATTAAAATATCCTGTGACCATTGAGAAAAGGATAATGAAATGAGTAGAAAGATCCAAGCAAGGTTTTGAACGTGGGCTAAAAAATCAAATTTCAATCTTAAAATTTCAATTTTAAAACCACTACTGTAACTCTTTGTTCCCCCTACCTACCCACCTCCAGTTCACTCTCAACAGAAAGGCCCCCTCTCACCACATTCTATTAAGCATAAATTTTCCATGCAAGTGTAGGTATTTGTGTGTATATAATAAAACTTTATGATTCCCAAGTATTTTGGAATTGTGTCAGGGAGAAGATCCTGTAAAATGTATTTTTTTTTTCATTTATGTTGTATACCAGCCTTTAAGAAAAACAGAATATTTTCCTTAAAGCAGGACTAGACTAACAAATCTTAGATGGCTAAGCAGATCCAATGATAGCTTATAAGACAAACGTTGAAAAAAATGAATTTGACAATAAGATAAAAACAGATTTAGTAGCTCCATTACATTAAATTACATTATGGTTAAAATGATTAAGGGAGGCACTATGAATATGTTAGAAAGAACACTGAAGAGGATATCTTAAGTCTACCCTCCATCAGCTGCCTGACTGGGCTGACACACCTAACCTCCATGAACCGAATATGCCTTGGCTAAAAAGGAGATTGTCCTGTGTGATACATAAGGTTCCACCCAGCTCTGAAAACCTATGTCTTTTTAGACAGAGAAAGCTTGTGTTTATTTGTAAGTATATACACAAAATAGGTGTGCACCTTTTTACTTTGATAGAAAATTCCTTAAAACTTCACACCATACTGGGTCTGTCATTTAAAAATGTCTACTTATGTCATTGTAGGTGACTCCACCTCATTGGATTTAAAACTTAATAAAACTTTCTAGATAGCAGGTGTATTTATATAACAGTCTTCATTTGGGGTTCACATCACATCAAATATACATATAGTGGAACTTACAGACCATTGGGAGTAGTTTCAGCATTATGTGTCTTATGTAAGAGTATATGCAATATTTTCAAGTATTTTTAATTGTGATCTTTAAAAAATGTTCATAGTTTGTGTGCTCAGGAGAGAATATCCTTCTAAGTTCAGATAATCTTTTATTACTATTTCTTCTCAATAAGAACACCCAGCAATAATACTGCATTTTCCAAAAATAATGAGACTGGTTTTTACTTTAAGATACCTTTGAAATGCTGCGTTCACAAACTGTATTTAAAGTACACTTCAGTGATCCTTGTAGGACATTACAGAGACCATGGCAGAGTCAACTTTGCACAGGTGTCAGACATGGGCCCACAGAATGTAAGAGCTGGGAAAAACCCTATCATTTACAAATGAAGAAATTGTGGCCTCTGTACTTTGGGAGAAATCCATAAGGATTTATTATATCCATCTTGTTTATTTTTAAATATGTATATGGCTAGGGCAAAGTTGTAACTTTGTGTTCATTACATATAATTTTATATGAAGAACAAAAATAAGCATTAAGGAAGATTTCTTCCTCCAGATAATGCTTTAAATGCTTTATATAATTAGTCTAAATCAGCTAAAAAACCTGGCCACAGCCACAAAAGATATTTGATATACCTGGGATTCCAACTGCCAGCCACATTCTTATTACTGTTTATTTAAAGACAAATGGACATACTTTAATAAAGTTAGGAATAAAAAGGAATTCCTTCTAATCAAGGCACAGTGAACAAGCTCTTCTAATTTTAAATCAAGTGTTCAAATATTGAGACTAATTTATTCAGGAATGTCAGCTTGTCCCATTGAATTGACCTTGCAAATCAGCAAACATCATGCAGTCAGAAATAGTTTCTGTAGAAGAATCTCATCATCTATTATTTGTAATAATACCAACAATATCTAAGAGTAAGTGTGCAGGTACGCCTTTGTGCTACCCAGCTCAAGTCTTAGCCTTGCATGAAGATTGCCTTTACAACTCTCACTGACCTGAGATCCATTTCTGTGTTCCATCTCAGGGTCTCATCTACTGTCTGTATTCATGTTGGTTTGTATTTATTAGGAGTAGCTGCAACTGGTGATTCTGTCATATCTTAGTTGTAAATAAAAGAAATACTCTCCAATATAGAAATTTAACAGAAATACTGTTTTCGAACCAAGATAGATCTATTGCATTCTTTGCATATGTCCAATAGCATATTTCAAACAATGGATTTTCTTTGCATTAAAGTACTCTGACAAGTAAATAGCTGTTTAACTAAAATGAAAACATTGTTTTCCCATTTAACCTCTCTGAAATCAGCAAGAATCTGACATGGTATAATTGACAACATCTTTTTTCTTTTATAGTGGTATATACAATGATGGTGCATCCCACATCAATAACATTTAAGATTCAATAAAACATGATCTTTCTTTGCCATTTTGTGGAGGAAAACAAAAGTGGAACAAAATGAACTAAAAAAAACCAAAAAAACAAAAAACCTCCCTTGATAGCAGAGTAACAAAGCATTGAAAAGCATGTAACTAAATAATACTGGAGAAGTTAATCTCACCTCCTCTTAACTGTGCAAGTATTATGTATTTAAATATCCATATCCATATCACTATAGTTGTGGACTCTTGATTTTCTTTCAAGATTCCTAACACTCACTTCTACAGATTTCAAAAAATCAGTCTTGTAATCACTTTCACATTTGTTGTGCCTCTTTTTTAAATAAGATGGCATACATGTTAGTATTTCAGTGTATGATGTCTGCCTCACTTCTCTCACAGAGGGAAATGAAGAAACATATATTGTTGTTTTCTGTTTCTTTTCTCTTATATTCCCAGTTGTCTGAGAGATGGCATAACCCTATATAATAAACTAACTACATTTTTTAGGTTTCTTTGTAACAAGGAAGAAGTTGGATGTCTTCAGTCAAAGGCCCTAGTGCAGACTGTGAATCCAATAAAAAGTAAAAAAAAAAAAAAAAAAAAAATTGAAAAGGGGAAACATAGTCAACAGCAAAGAAAAAAAATCTCCAGTAGTACTATTTTATCTCATGACACAAATAATCTCTTCTGTCATCACGAATCTTAACATATAGACAGTTTGAGAAAGGAGAGAAGTACCGTAGTCTCTTCTTATTGTTGGTTTCAGTTACCCATGGTCAAATGTGGTCCAAAAATATTCAATGGAAAATTCCAGAAATAAACAATTCATAAGTTTTAAATTGCAAGCCATTCTGAGTGGGATGATGAAATCTCCCGCTGTCCTACTCTGTCCCGCCCAGGACGTATCCACACTGTCTACACACCCTGCCTGTTAGTGGTCGCCTCAGTTATCAGATCGACTGCCAGGGTATAGCAGTGCTTGTGCTTAAGTAATCCCTATTGTATTTAACAATGCTTTATTAACAATAATTATTAGTTATTGTTGTTAATATTAATATCTTACTGCACCAAATTTACAAATTAAACTTTATCACAGATATGTATATATAGAAAAAAACCTTATTATATACAGAGTTCAGTACTTTCTGCAGTTTCACACATCCACATAGGGTCTTGGAACATATGCCCCAAGAATAAGAGAGGACTACTCAAGATTCATTTCATGTACTCTCATGATTTCTAAGCAGATTGTTGGCCAATGGAGGAAAGACAAAGGCATTCTTAAGTGCAGTACTTGATAGCTCAAATCATCATTTATAGCAAAAGTAGTTTAAAAACAAAACAAGATTGAAGACCTATAATATCTTTCCAAAGAGTCTTTGCATTAATGTTTAAATCTTCTCCTGAAACATAACCAATCTTTGTGTTTTTATTTAAACTGCTGTTTGTTGTTTGAGGTATAATTTTGCCTTAATCCTTTATGAAACAAAAATAATCAAAAGTAATGTAGAATGAACCCTAGTAACTGATTAGAAAACCTCTTTTTGTAAAATTATTAAAACATATCTTCTGAAAACTACCACCTCAAAACACCAACACGTTAGTCCACAAAAACAATTTTGTAAGTGAAATATAGGGCAAGACATTAAACACGCCAGAAAAAGTGCCACTTTGTATTCACAAAGGAAAAGACGTCCCAAAGTAAAAACTATCAATAACTGTCATTGCTTTGTGATCACTGAAAGAGTTTAACTATAACACAAAGTTTGTCATATAGTTATAGTTAAAAAGTATGGACTTAGTTAAAATATGAAATATAAATATGGTGAAAATATAAAATATGAAAACTTCAAACTACCTATATGCCATGCCTGGTCCATAAATTAGCAAAATTTCAATTTAAGTAAGAGGAATGTCCCTATATCCACCAACTACTTGCATGATGTACAAGAGAAGTACTATTAAAATGTCTTTATTTTCTACCTCACTTCATTTTCTCTTTCTGCTCTTCTTCCTTTCCAAATTTCTTCACATTCTTATTTCAGACATCTGTATCCTTCAGTATAAACACTTAGAAATCTGAATAATACGATGGCCATCATGGAACATAATCACACTCTACATCGATGAATGACTATTTACAAAATGATTTCTATCATTTAAAGGAGAAAATGTAATTGAGATTTTAAATTCCAAATGAAATGCTACAACTCAAATGGCACTGACTAGCTATGAGCTTCTGGAAGTCACCCACCTGGGGCAGCATGCGATTTTCTTCCTCCAGCTGTCTTACTCTTGCCTCCAGCTGCCTAACATAGGACAAGGTTGATTCTAAAATTAAAAAGAAAGAACTCACATTATACACACAGGTCTTGTTTGGTACACTGTCAGGATATTTCTGGCTTGATTTATTCAAATCAGGTAGTGATTTAGTCTGCTATTTAAAAAAAGAAAAAAATTCCCCCCCAAAACAAGAACAGAAGACGTTGAAACCACAGTTTCGAACAATTTTACAGTATCAGCGGAATACTAGAAAAATTTACAAGTCGTGAGATTGCAAGCTTTTGCACACCAACCAGCCCTCAGAACATTAAGCATCTTAAAGACAATTATTCCATCTTTTGTCCTTATTTTGTACATTTTCAGTTTTCGATGAGTTGACCCACACTCAAGACTGTTTTGTAATGTTATCTGTAACCAAAGTAAATTACAAGTCCCTATGGAAAAACAGAAGAGAAAACAAAATTTCAAATATCCAGTTCCCTTCATTTTCCCAATAAATACTTTAAGTCTTAAGAACAATATTTTTTTCTTCTCACAAACCTATAGATATTAAGACTATCATCCTGAGAAGAGTCATGAAAGCACTAAATATTTAGAGTTTGGTTGAATTTTGATTTTGATTTTGGCTGAATGCGACAGAGACTAAGTTTTCTCAAATCTTTAGGTAAGCCAGGGGCAGACCGAAAATTGATTCTTGTTTTCAATTCTTCAGAATCTCAGGTATGCGCTGAAAGCTCAGAGTCAGCATCATGCTTAGTTTCTGTGTTATACTGAAACTCTGAAATTCATAACTGTAGGTCAGGAAGAGGGTCAAACATGAAGGAAAGTGGAGTTTCATTTTAGGGAACAATCTGATCATAACCCATCTTCATTAAAGTGAAAATATTCAAGTCATCATATAGAAAATAGCAGCAATTCAAGAACAAACATATTTCAGATACAGTGAAAGGTACATGACAATAGAATCCCTCCCGAGCATATTTCCAAAGTTAATATTAAAACAGCAAAACCTCCTCAGAGTTTACATTCTTCAGCCTCAGCAAAAAAGAAGAGCAAGAGGCAAGATGGTAGTCCACTTAAGAGGCAAGCGTTTGTGGCCCCTTAACAACTTGTGATTGTGATGGATATTGATTCAAACTAATATCCTGATCTGAAATCATCATGGAAACTCTATATGATTTTCATGTGGAAATTCTATATATGAATTCAATTTCATTTTTGTGACCTCCAAAGCAATAAGGTAACATTTTATTTTCTAAAATACATAAGAAGTATCAATCCTTAATTTACAAATGTAACAATTAAGCTCATCTCTGACTAGGTCACAGCTCACCTGTTTTCAAAAACTGTTTGCAGAAAGCCCCCATCACTGACATTAACATAACAACCCACTGACCTCCCACCAATGGAGAAGATCAGCCTTGAACATTTGTTATATAAGAAGACAGAACCACAGGCAAAGAAAACTGAAGACATTTGCTAGAGATACCCTCTCATTTCTTTCTAGCTTAATAAAATGTTAAAACTCTGCTTTATGGACTCTTTCAAGGAGAAAAAAAAGTATACGGCATAAATGAACAAGAGTATTGATTTCATGAGTCTGCTTTACTCTAGCAAATGAAAGTAAGTGATCTGCAGACCATCAAGATGTGAATGTAGATTGCCTGATTTATACTGTTTTTGCAAACCCTGCTTTCTTCTCTACAAAAACAACCACTTGATAAGGGTCATCCAAGTGAAAAATTGATCAACAATATTCTATTTAAACCATGAAATATAAAATTCCTTTCTCCTTTGTTCACAATTTATGCCTTATCTTTATTGCCCCATACTGCACCATCTCTAAGGTTGTGATACATAAAGCAGCTAAAAGACTCCAGACAGAGTGATTCAGGTGATATTTGAAAAATGCCACTGAATGGAATTTGTTTTAATTGCGTGACTATCTTTAGTCTCTTTAATATATTTCTCTCTTTTTAAATCTTTGCAGTTTACATATCTGATGCTTTCACTATGTCTCTACTTAAATTACAAAAGCATTTTGTTTGTTCAGAAAAAAGGGGGAAGTTCTTAAGTTTGGGAAATATTCTCTAAGTCCTATGTTTAATGTTGAATTTGGACTTGATCTTCAAGTCCAAAGACTGAAGATTTGCACTTGATCTTCAAGTCCAAATCATGCTTCATTCCAAAGCATGTACTGCAAATACGGGCCAGGACAGGAAGAGATAGGAAATATTTTTAAACAGATAAAATAATAGAAAATATTAGCTTTACAGTGAAGGCAAAGGTAAGAAAAGTTTTGAGTTGGTTCATTCAACAAACATTTACTGCATCACTGAGTGTTGTCAGGCACTGTTCTAGAGTTGCGGTGAAGAGAAGGCCAGTTATTATAATTCTTAACAAACTTCTCAGAATACAAATTCCCTTTTAGGATTACTAACCCGTGTGCTGTGGTCCAGAAGGTCCTGTTAATTGTTTCAAGCTCTTAGCTTCTGCTGCAATTATTACTTCACAATTAATGGATAATTAAAAATAAACTTCAGGATTGGGGCTCAGGAAGAATCTGATCTGCATGCATATGAGGACTTAAGTCGTTTTGTTTTATTCAACAAGAAACTGATTGTGCTCTTTAATAAGGGTGGAATAGGCAAACATTTTTCTGGAATATATTGTCAGATCAGCATTAGGTCACTGAGTCCCTGTAGGAAAATCCAGAGGGATGGGTAGGAACCTACCCAATCTTCCAACTGTGACACAAGGAAAAAAAATATATTTGTTTTGTTAAGCCCTTGGGATTTCAAGCTTTATTTGTTATTACACCCTAGGTCAACTGAGCCTGACTAGTAGTATATCACCAGTAATTGGATAAAAAGTAACTGGATAAAAAAATATTTTAAAATAAAATAGAACAGGATAAAGTATAAGAAACACCACGCTTTAAAAAAAAAGTCACATCATACTCCATGTCTCAGTCCTAGTTGATTATTAGAAAAAAACTGGTAGAATCTTCTCATAGGGTAAGAAAGAAAGAAAAGAAGCCTTGTGGATACCAGAACGTATTTCACCACATCTGCTACAACCCCTTCTCCACACAGGCAGAAGATGCTCTTTCCTTCTTTCTTGCTTTTTCAAGGGTGTCAGCTCTAACTTAAGCTGGTCTCCCATGACACACGGAGAACATAAAAGACAGCTGTACATTGATGGACCTAAGAGAAGTGTCTGACAAAAATTGGCATTTTATCATAAAGTGACAAATAGAAAACTGCATTAGAATATACTATAATTTGAATTGACCATGACCTTTCATACCAGTGGCTGACACCTTTTTAGACTGAGATTTCAGAATGCTGTTTTGCTTTCAGAACTCTGAGAAAGAATCTCCAAAAGAACATCAAAAATAGCCAAATTCTCTGCTATAAACTACACAGATATATTATAATGGATTAAAGAAGGACCCTCTATTCAAAGAACCTAAAACTGGGGGAAAACAAGAGGAAATAAATTTTAAAACAGTAAGGTGATAAGAAATTCAGAGCTGAATCCTATGAAACAGGGGCAAAGGAAGAGATCAGCATTGGCTGCATTTTTTATGAAGGAGAAACTCAGGCTTAAAACGGATCAATAGAATTTTGCTAGGCCAGAGAGATATGACAGGAACCATAGGATGGACAACAGCCGGAAGCCGAGAATGACCCTGTGGCAAACAGGGAAGCAGGAAAGGAATCATATGATGGTGGAGAGAGGAACATGGTGTGGAGCAGAAGGAGGAAAGGCCAGGTTATGCCCACAGTCATGGATCTGGAAAAGCAAACATCAAATCACGGTAATCCTGATGGCAATTTGCTTTCAACCTCTCCACAAGGTATTTTATTTCTCTTTCCACCCTGGGAAACCTATGGGAACACAGACATTGGAAAAACAAGCTGAAGCAAACAATGTCTATGTGAAAATCCAACTACATTCTCACAGTGTTCTTTGGGTAAATTTCAGGCACATTCTCAAAGCAGGGAATTTATCTCTCCATGTATCTCACTTTCCTTTGAACCTACATGTAAAAGTTCACAAGTGTAAGAGACATGCATAAGAATTCCACTAAATTCAACATCTGCTAAATGATTCCAATCTTAGAGGTGGAATGCACTTTAGAGATTTTCTAGTTCAACCTATCCCTCAACCCCCTGACTTATTTTGCAGACAAGAGAACCAAAGCCCAGAGAGTAGTGAAGTTGACCCCTAACACTGGGGATTAGGCAAATATATTCAAACAATTTTGTTTAATTGCTAAGGTACCACAGTGATTCTCATCTTGGATCTTCTAATAATCAAGTGATGTCGAGCTTCTTACATACATAAGTACTAAGTTCTCCTTTTTTCTTACTGATTTTAGATATTCATGATGGATTTACCTTTACAATAACTTGATATTTTCTTTGGATAATGTTCTTGACTTGATTTCACTTCAAATAGCCTGAAATGCATTCAATCATATAAAGGAGCTCAATTTTTTCCTCTGTTAGTTTGAAAACACTCTGGTCAAAATATTAAATGCTCTGCACTTCCCTTCCATTTCTAAAGCAATGTTTCTCTCCCTACAGAAACATTCATCCTTAAAATCACCCATGAATTACTCTGATTATTGTACATAAAAGGTTTATTATTGGTAGTTGCAACTGTCGAAGTTTTATCAAGCTTCTGAGTGGTTTCAATTAGATAAAAGTGTCTCCAAAATTTCAGGGCAGGATATAAAATATGGTAATGGTCCTTTCTAACACAAACCACAGCATTTTAAGAGTGTACAGGAGGAAAATCATTTGGAAGATGTTGACTTTTCTGTGGTTCTCTAAGAGTTAGTTTCTGCTCTGGTTTGAATGTTTGTCCCCTCCAAAATTCATGTGGAAATCTAACTGTCATTGAAACAGTATTAAGAAGTGGACCTTTAAAGGTGAGCAGGCCATAAGGGCACCACCTTCATGGATGGGATTGGTGCCCTTATACAGGGGTCAGTTCAGCCCCCTCTTGCCCTTCATCCTTCATCCATGAGGTGATGC